GCTTTGCAGGTATTTCTGAAGCTACTGGTAGTATAGTTGGATGTATCTGGTTCACCCTGAATTGGCTGTTTCTGTCTTTCTTTACCCTGTCTCTGTGCTCAGATGGGTGCTTTTCTTGCATTTAGACTTCACTAAAGTCTTTCAGATTACTTAATCTAGGACATAGGTTGGCTGATGCTAGCTTTATTCAAAAAGCCTACCCATTAACTGTACTAACATACAGAATAACATAGTGAGGATACCTGCTACTTTCTTTAGTCTTATTAATTTTGGAGAGCTACTTAGAGGATAAATTACTGACAGGAATCAATGAGTTGAATCCTTAATGACTTTCATGTTATTTGAAATAAATCCTTGTATATCTTTTATCCCTTCCTGACCTAACATCTAAGGGCTGTGCTCAGAACCTTGAATAAAATCAAATACAGGGCTGAAAGAGGATTTGACACAGCTAGGGCTAGAAGGGAGACCCATCTGTGTCATGCAATTGCCGTAACCTTTGTTTTTTAATTATTCTTGCCCAATATAATAACATTCAGTAGCAAACACTTCCTTAGCAGGTCTTGTCCCAAAGAACTTACGGAATGAAAAACAGTAGAAGAAAACAAGAGTTACTGTCTTGATTCTAAAAAAGTGACTATTGAAGAAACACAAGAGGCTTTTGGCAACTAAGAAGAAAACCCTTCTCTTGATAATTTGAAGCTAAATACCATAACCATAAGTCAAGTCTTCCTGTCAGCCAAGTGGTGAAATGTAATATCTACCTAAGTCTTCTGAGGTCTTTACTGAAGCAATTTCATACTGACATCAGTGTCAGACTGTTTGTATAAGATCTGAAGATAAAGGTCTCCGAAACTGGCTTGAGTGGAATGATATTGAAATATCTTACTCATTTATTTCAATTAGATGCTCTGCAATCACTCGGTTTAAAATAAAAGAAAAATATCTAAACATAAACACAGTGGGTTTCAATGTGTGGCTTTACATTGACGTGTCTTGGAAAGATAACGCTCCTGTCCCCAGATATCCCAGGTAAGTAATAAGCAGCTTCCTCCCATCTTGAACTGCAGAGATCACTATCTTGCCATACTTAAAACCACACCTGCAAAGTATCTAAGGAAATTAGTAGCTCTCTTACTCTGGCCAGGAAAGAGAGCCAGTGATACTGGCTTTACTGTATGATATCTTTATTCAAACTCGCAGTGGCTCAGGAGATAGGTAAGAGGATTTTACTTTTCTGAAACAGGTTTAGATCTTGATAGCCAGGATGGTTCATGTATAAGTTCTGTTATCATCTGACTGCCACTCAGATAGACAACTAGAGTCCTAATAACATCAGCTTTGCTGAAAATGTTTGGTCAGAAAGCTTTCAAAGATCTAAAGTAGTTTCAAATTAACTGTGTTGTTTTGCTCAAAAAGCATGGGGTGGGGAGAAACAGTGAAAAAATAGAAATGTTTTATTTCAAAATTAAATGTTTCAGTTTTGAAAGGTCTCCAAATCTGGCATTTCTGAAGCTTTGCTTTAGAGCGTCTAGTTTCATATGGCAATGTTGAATTAAAAGATGGAGATCCAGTTGAATAATTTTTTTTTTTTGGGGGGTGTTATTTCTCACAGTGGTTAAATAACCTGGATAAAAATTAGTTTGGGGATGAGCTAGGGAAAAAATACTAATTTTTGTTCCCTGATTTCTGCAAATATTTTGAAAATTTTTGGTTTCAATTCTACAATAGACAGTTATTTTCTTAGATTACTGTAATTTTTCTAACCTAGCTACTGAGCTGAATAAGGTACAAACTGATTTATGAGGCAAAGAGAAAGCGACTGTCATCTCTCATTATCACTGTCTGGCAGAAAAAGAAGTCTTCACAGAGCAGCACAGTCTTCCACCTCCATCTCTCAGTGGTGTGGCTGCATCTAGCCCTAGGAAGGTCCATCACTGAAGTCCATGTAACCACTTTCATGGAATAAATGAACAAATGTTCTCATCCAAAATGACAGCAGAGTTCAATTTATATAGTATTTGCCATCCTTGCTTTTGAAGCTGTTAGGATCAAGCATGAAAGGACTATGAAGACAGTGCTTCACTAAGGGCAGTTCTCTGTACACCAAAGCTGAGATATGTTTGTATGTAATTTTGTGGTGCTGTTCCCATTGCTGGGGTAAGTAATGAGCTCCATTAAATGAGCCCTTCTTACCTTTTGGTAGGTCTGTCTCACTTAGCTTTTAAGGTTATGCCAGCAGTAGGATGATCCAAATCGCAGCCATTTAGAGTTGCTATCACTCTACTGCTTTATCTGAAAGCTTGGTTGTGACTCTGAGTAGCTTTTTGCATGGGGCTGTTGGGGAGCAGCCCATTGAGTAAGCTGCATGCAGCTGAACACTGTATTAATTAACTTGCATACTGGGAGCAGCATGGGCTTGCCTTCCTTCCATTCTGATTCTGTTTCACATACACAGGTAATGTATGAAGCAGTTTAACCTCAGAGTAATTTGATATGTTTTCTTATCTCTTCCCCCCCATCTTATTTCCAAGTACTTTCTCAACGTTAATTCAGAAAGGAAACGAGTAAGTCAAAAAGGTGGAATGAGACCTGTACAATCTGAAATCCCTTTTCCCTCTGTCTCCTGAACAGCCTTTTGCAGACTGAAACTGCAGGTACAGTATTATGTATTCTGAATCTAACTCCACTAGTATAGGCCTTGCATGACTATGTCCTCCTTCTAAAAAGGGGAGGCGGAGGACTTTCTGTGCGCCCTACTATATACTGCATACTATTTAACTTGTTCACTAAGGTGCTGTGCTGTCTTTGCTTTAGTTCTGTTCCTTCCTTGGTTTTGCAGTTGACTGTCTTACTTTCCCCATGCTGCATTGTTTTTTGTGTCTGCAGTAAAGCCTGACTTCACGTAGCCCGTTTCCCTCACGTCCAGGAGGAAACAGACGTGGTACTTGTCAGTGTGCTTGTTGACAAGCAACACAAGATGTTTTATGTATTTTGGCAGTGCTGATTTACTGGAACCATTGACATTTTGGAGCAGCTTTTGGAAAAAATTGTTCCAGGGCTGTCCAAAGTAACTTTTGCACCTTGATTTGAAGACATTCTGGGAGCTTTTTCCTTCTTTCCTGTTCCATTAAGACCCAGGTCTCTTTGCTGCAGCTGTGTTCTATTTAATGTGTTGCTCTGTTTCCAGGCAGCCATGCCCCTCTTTGAGGGGAGTTCATTTTTCTCTGGCTGTTTTTCCATTTGCCTTCCCTTTAGGAGGTAAATTTGTCAGCCTACTATTTTGGTCTCAGTTCACTACAGCAACAACAACACTATGAAGGCAGAAAATGAAAACTTCACATGAATAAGTGATTTCCCCCCTTTTTCTCTGCTTTTTTCTTATCTCTGGAAATGGGATACTGCACACCCCTGTGTCCAAGGAAGCATGGAGAAGAACGTTTGTACTGCATTCTTGACTGCTGGGAAAAATGTCCAAGTGAGGCTGTCAAAACAGTGTTACTGCAGGAGCACATCACTCGCATGGTTAATTGCACTGAACCCCAGATTGCTTTCTGATGGGTTTGGCTTATTGTTCTGTGGGTTTTGCAGCTGCCCTTTGATTTGCTGCACGTACACAGCAGACCTTTATTTGCGATACCTTTTTTGTTATTTCAAAGATGGTAACCCACCTAAGCACTCGAGTGCTAACCCTGCTGCTTGGGTAAATGTGCATCCATTTCTAACCTCCAGGATGGTGGCTGCATTGCCAGCAGAGCAGAGTCTTTGGAAATGTCAATTTGAGGTGTTGCTTGTCATTTCCATAAGCCCAGGGGCATTTGACTAGAGCTGATTTTCAGCCAGGGAATGATTTTTGTGGAAAATGCTGTAAAAAGTGTTCAAAGGTGATCCATCTGAATTTCAGGAGAGATCCAAAGCCTAAGATTCCAGGAAACCTGTTTTCCTAAATAATTGTTGTGGTTGCATTTATATTTTTTTTCTTCTCTTGCCAAAAGCCAATCTCATTGCTACTATTCAGTGAAAATTAACTCTTGACACTCTCCCTTACCATAAGTGTACATGGTCCACTGGTTGGTTGGTGAGGCTTGGTCCTATCTCATATTACAGTCCTCCAGTGAGGACATATCTTACTGCCGACTTATGGTGGCCTCCAGCCCTTTTCCAAGCCTGGGTCTGCAGGACATCCAACATGAAGTTACAAGTGTGGAATAAGGTAAAGCCAGAAGAGATTGCCTGGAGCAATGTCCTGATAGGCACCCTGTGGATTGTCCATCAGTAGTACGTAGTCGGCATGGGAGACGTGAAGGAAGCCATGCCTGCACCATCTCCAGTGGATGCCTTAGGACCCACTACTGTCACCAGCAAACTGATGGGGGAATAGGATGGGAAGCTGCAAGATGTCAACTTGTTATGTTCTTCTTATAAGAAGTGTGTAGAGGGGAAAAGCCCAGAAGGTATGCGGCTTTCCCTTTCCCTGCCAAAATTTACCTCAATTTCACCAACATTGGCCAGGCAGTCATCCAGTAGGTACTTCAAAGTAAGGAGGCTTGATTTACTGGCTGGCAGAAAGATTGCCAGTAACATATTGGAACAAGTCCCTTTTGCAGGAAGAGTTGAAAGGAGCGATCAGAAGTGGGCTCCTCTCCCACAGGAATTTTTATTATTAAGGTTTGTCTATTCCCTCCCTTTGATTGTTTTTTATTTTCTGGAGTATTTTGTGGAAGAACTTAAAAACTATTGAAAATTCATCTGCTGACTAGATAAATGAAAGAGATGGGGAGTGCAGAAGACTTTCTAAATATGGCAGAATCTACCCAAAAACCTGGGGTAATAACAAGTTGTGATAGGTAATAAAGTGACAGGCAAAGGTGTGGTAACTGCAGCTTTTCTCTCCCCTCTGACACTGCAGATCTGTCCCTCTCAGACATAGGCAGACTTCTCCGCACAGAGGAAGCAGAGGGTGGAGCTCAGCACCTGTATAAATTATATGTGTCCTTCAGGTTATTTCAGCCGCAACAACAAGCTGTGAGCCTGTTTGGCAGCTGACGGATCTGTTACACAAATTGGGGTGCCTGTTGCTGTCGCCATCTTGCATGCCATGGGGAGCCCACCAGCCAAGGTAAGAGAACTGCAGCTCTGTGCCTTGCTGTGACCCGACACCTTGCCATTGAGACCTCCCTCCTCCAAGTCTTGAGAGCAAACTCCTTCCTCTTTACATCTGCTGGCACACAAACTGGTGCGATGCAGGAGGGTCGTCTTGGACTTTGTGAACTCACCGCTTTCCTCTTTCACCATGTAGTAACTAACATGCAAGTGAGCTTCTGTGACAGCAGAGAGTAGGTGACCCTTTGCTTTTATCGTGAGGTGTGCATGCTGTCGTGAACACCGGGAAGGAAGAGAGGGCTGGCCTTGATGAGTTTATCACACTGTAAAATGAAAGTGCTTTACCCCTACTATGTGCTCTTCTCAGGATAGCACATGTTTGTCGCTTGCCCCAGCTGAAAACCCAACATCTTTTTCTAGCAACAAAGCATAATTTATCTCACTTGAGCTGCAGGGGAGAGTTCTGTTGAGCCCTTTGGCTGATTTAGCTATCTTTGACATAATGTTTACAGCACCTGCAATTCTAGTGGAAGTATTTCATGTCTGGACTTGAGTTTTTTAATAGGAAGTTCCATTCAGAGATCTTAACTGGTATTTTTTAGCATAAATCAACAGAATTATTAGCTGAGAGTTACTTCCTCATGTATGTCTTCAAAAAGGAATGGATGTGGTGTCTGAAATCCAAGATATGTGTTACTTACAACTAACCTTTCTCTATATATCAAACCCCATGCCAAATTTTGCAGCAAATAAAAGAAATATGGGCATTCAAGGGTTTTAAATACAGCAAGAAACAATGTTACATGCTATAGCTTCTAGAGAATCATGAATCATTAAGAATGAAGAATACTACTTGTACTTGTGTCATGGTAATATTTGCAAGTAAAATCAAAAACCCAGGAAAATATCAGTAGCTTGACGAGAAAGCTGAAATGATAGATTGAAAATATTCAAATGTTGGATGCTCAGGGCAAGTGACATAATGTACTTTGGATGAAATTTGTATCTAATCTATCTACCTCTTAGATCCAGAGGTATCTATCTGTCTTAGATAGAAAAGCTATCACTATTAAATACAAATTTTGTCTCTGATAATATAATTCTGGATCTGATAGATGAGTAGATAGCTCAGATATAATTTTATCTAGAAAGTCTCAATTACAGCAAATTATCTTGCATTTGATCCTAATGCTGTGAGTACCATTCTGCAAGTATAGACATAGTCCTGGTTAACAGGCAGCACTGCCAAAAGGTTAGAGTGCGACCTTAGCTTCAGGTCAGAAAGCTTCTATTCCCGAGGAAGGAAATTCATTCAATACAGCCTGTAGCTCTGCCATACAGCCAGGCAAATTAATTTTTCATGAATGTAAATTAGTAAATAGGTATGGAAATCAGAACAGAATGGGTTTTGTTTATTTCTTTTTATATTAAAAAAGCAAGGTGTTTAGAAAAGTGTGGACTCTTTGGAAGACCTACTGAGAAGGCTATGTAGTATTCTACTAATACTATCTGGTATTCCAATCAATTTTTTGCTGTTTAAAGAAAGCTACCAAGTTGGCACAGAAGTGATGGACAGTATTATTTTACAACTTGCTGGGAGTGCTTTTGATATTCATAGCAGGGTCTTTTCTTCTGCTCAGACAAGATTAATCACTATTTAGTAGTTTTATTTTGTGACCTATGGAATCATTTTTATGTGATAAAATACTCAGATTTACTTACTAACTGTTCAACCTCGAATAATAAGATTTTGGATAACTGTGATTCCCAAACACAGCTTTTGTGATCATGCTCTATCCTTCTATTCTCTCTCCTGGTTTTGCATTTGCTTTTCCCACCAGAACTTTGCATTCCTCTAATTTTGAAGAAAATAGGCAGCTCATGGGAAGGAGAAATTGCTAGCAGTATTCTCACTGATGGGTAAGAATATCAGCCCATATTAGATGTTAAAGAATCTATGTGGAAGAGTGCTTTGAAACGAGGCTGATCACAAAGCTTTTTTAACCTTACTTTGATAAATTGCCAAGTTGTAGTTGAAATAAATCCTTAGTATCTAAGATAAAATAAATAGTAAGAATATGCCAAATGATTGTGTGAGATCTTGTACATAAGATATTATACAACTTCTGGTACACCACTGGAGGAAGAAAAAGTAATCCATGAAAGGAAGTAATTATTCATATCTGAAAGACATCTATAAAGCTGAGTGATAAATCCTACAGCTATTTACAGCATGTCAAGATAGTGAGAGCAAACTCCCCACATAAAACTTCATATAACTTGGTGTTATCTCCACTCAGAAAATTGGTGACATTTGGTGCAAGGCCATCAAAATTGGCCTTCCAAGTACAAACCAAGAACTTTTTTTTAAAGAAAGTAAAGAAAATTAAAGAAAGAAAGAGAAGAGAGAAAAGAGAAAAGAAAGAAAAGAATAAAAGCAAGCCAAAGCAAAGCAAAGGAGAGAAAACAACTTAAAAAGAAAGGAGATGTGGCAATGGGAGTATGTTCCCAGATTGCCCATCTCTGCAGAAGCTGCCCACTAGAAGACTAACTTTCTAGCGACGGTAGCTATGAGATCTTGTTCTAAGAGCAGGATGGAGGGACAGTAAGGAGTGAAATAAAACATAGGAGCTGTTGGGAGGTTTTTCTTCTTTCTCTGCCTTCCAAAGACCATCTCAGTAGGCTCCTCATTATTACTGAGCTTTGAGAAGATTTCATACTCTCAAAGTTGTCTTTTGGGGATGAAACCTTTTGAAGTGACCAACTGCCTGCAGACGGGAGAATTATGTATCCTCCTAAAGCTGACCAGCATATTACTGCTCTCTGGAAGCCAGTCAGTAGGTCAGCAAGGGTGCACTATTACAATCAAAGAGATGTTAGCAACAGATGTGAATTTTCAGTTTGTTAAGGTTTGACACAACTATGGCAATTCTACATGTTAGTTTTACCTTCCGTTCATTGAATTTCCTGTATTTTAAACCTGAAATGGTTCCCCCAAAACTGGCTTTGAGAGTGCAGAAATGTAGTTTAGTGCTAAAAGTTATCAAGTGAAAAGAAGTTTGTTTTTTCTGTTTCTGTGTGGGTTTTTGTTTGTTTCTATTTTGTTGTTTGGAGTTTTTGGGGGTGGTGGTGTCAGTTTTTAGCCTACTCTTTGGGACTCTGGATATGCTAATATTTATTGGTCTGGGGTGTTATGCAAAATTATACAGGCAGCCATCATTGACGTCAGTGTGGCACTACTAATTTTCCAGCAAAAATGGAATGATGCACTTCTGGAAAAGCTACCTTTGACTTGATATTTACAGAGGGAGTTTGTTCCTCTGTGTGCCTATGCAGGAAACTGTTTCTTCAAGGGAAGTGAACTAAAGAGAGCAAAAACAGTGCAACTGCAAGACTGTCAAGAGCTGTCTGGATATGTTCTGTGCTTATCAATTTGCATTAATATTGAAATTACACGTTTCTTGTCCTGTTATGAAAATAGCAAATTACTTCTCTAATTATTTTTAATAAAGGGTATTCTGAAATGCTGGCAGTTTTAGGCAAGGATGTTATTTGAGACCACTCAAATCAGACCCGCACAGTCTGCTATGGAACACTGCAGAAGAAAAATTAGCTGTGCCTTTTTCTGATGAAAACAAAAAGAATAAGCCCAATTCTATACAGTTATCACAGCCTGAAGTAAACTTCAGGCTTGGAAGTGGGATGGCTTTTGGTTTTCCCTAAGTATTTGCACATAGGGCTTATTATGGCCACATTTACCTATCTGAACCTCTTACTCTTTTACCCTGTAAAAACACAAGGACTAAGCTGCAACAAATCAGAAACAGTGAACAGTCATCTTTGATGTAGGCAGATGTTGACATGTTTAAGGGAAGCGATTGCTGTTGAAAGGGGAAAAGAGGAGGAGTGAGGTTCTCTGGTTCTAGTGGGAGAGGATGAAAACACGACGCCAATGATAACTGAGAGTACTCTGATGATGAACTGCAGATGCACCATTTTTATGAACAATTACATTTTAATCACAAAAGGTTCAAAGCGACTTTGTACAACATCCGTTTCTCCTTTAAAGGCAGATTCTGGAATGCTTTGGCTTCTGTTGAGCAAGGGGGAAGTGATTACAAAATAACACAGAATTAACATATTAATTAAAAACAGTCAGCTCTGTAATTGTCTACATAATCCAATACTTCATGTTAATGAGACCCACTGGGAATGCTGACTGAGTGTTCCGGTTGGGAGTATTTGCACAGGAAAATTAAAGTCAAATTCTTTCAGTGGCCAATGGAATAATATGGAAGTGGCCCAGCTGGAACTTGTAATATCTGTAATGCATTAAATGCAGAATGTTTTAAATTTATCAGTTTCAAATGGGGGGAAAATGTAACAGAAATGGTTCTTGTCATGCAAGAACAAATGTGTCTTACATTTTTATACAGGAATTATTTCAATCAACCATTAAAAGACCAGGAAACAGAGTAATTTGTGATTTGGTAGGTTTAAGAACTCTGCTCGAGGTGACTCTTGAATATTAATCTGAGTTTAAAAAGGATGTAACCTTAAAAGTGACATCATACAATTTAATATTAAGCCCTTATTTGAACGTGCCAAATCACAGTTGAAATGGCTTTCATTTGATGTAATGTAATGTAATTTACCTCTAAACAACACTGACTTAAACTGAATTAAGGCTATTCTCATCTCTAATAAACTTGCCCAGTTGTCTCCACCCCATTTTAAAAGAATTTCATATTAAGTGTAGTGAGTGACTCCTTCTATAGAGAAGTTCCAGTTTCCTCAGCTCTTTGTATCTCCAAAGTTAATAATTTCAATGTCAGGAACATTAATCATGGTGCTAACTTTCAAAATGAAGTTGTTCAATTATTTTGTTGCAATAATGAAATAGATAGTCTCATTTAGGCAGATATGATGTTCCAGTTGGTGTGTCGTTTAAGCTGCCATTCAAACTAATGAAACACTTCCAACATGATGAGACCCCATTTTTATTTATTTGTTTTATTTACTGTATGTTATTATTGCTGACAAACTGTGCTTATATGCAAAAAATATGTAAAAAACAGGAAGTTAAACAGAAATTTAACCGTTCTAATTTGAAGAAGAAGAAAATATTTTTCTGCTTATGGTATTAAGATTATCATGTGTCTGTATATGTGTGTTCATTCAGGCTTATCAGAATGTCTTTTGAAAATGGCAATTTCTGACCAGCTTAGGTTGGGAAGCTTAAGTCTTAGTGTTAGGGACATGTAACTTGAAATAAGTGTTACAATGATAGCTTGTATATGATAGAAATAAATCTCATATATGAAAGGGAAGGGGTTCCATTCCTGTTGATATTTACAATATACCTACTGATGGGGGATTCTGTGATATGATGCCTCCAAATCAGGGCACTTCTTTCATCATTGGAAGGGTCTTTGCTGGGCCTATGGTCCGTTCACTCAAAGTCAATTGTGCATTCCTCTAGATGCCTTTTGGTGAGCTTGGCCTACTTACAAGTGTTATGAAAACCTAGTTGGGATATGAAGTCAGAAGTTTTTAGACTACCATGTCCTCATCTAGTGTCAGTGCTGTACCTAGTATTGCCTTCCAAAGGCTCAATTTTGACCTTCCTATGGCACAGGACTTTCAACAGATTGGCAATACACCCATCACTATGGCCATCCATACTTCAGGTTGTATGAAAATAAAGTGATTACATATTGTTTTTGTATTCTGAGCTGGTAAAACTAATTGCATTTGTTTTCTCTGCAGATGAAGTTCTGCCCCATCCACATGCTTTCTGTAAGAATCATACAAGCTAAGAACATCAAATCAAGAGACCTGTGTGAGTTGTGCTTTGATTGTACTTTTAGTCACCTCCAGAGTTTATGCAGTGAGAAATGTTCCTGAGTTTGAAGGTATAAAAGCAACTTACATAAAGCACAACAACAGAAATACTACTGCCAGGGCTATAATTAGATTAAATGCCTGAGGTGTCATTAGGCTGGAGGACGTATCTAGTGGCACCTCAGGGAACTGGTAAAAATGAAGCCTCCCAGATGAATTTCTGGGACAACAAGGGAAGGTAGACCTTATGAGGATATTGCAATTTGTAAATCTGATGGAAGTTGTTTGGTTTTGATGTTCATGATTGATATAAATCATATAATGGACTGGAATTTTGCCACATAGGACATGTATTTAGGGACCTTTTACTGAAATACATCAATTACACTCAATAATCAAAAGTAAACTAGAGAATTTTAAGCTTTCTAAAGTACAGTATCATTGAGGGTATTTGCTGTTCTCAGATAACCAGTCATGTGAAATTATATTGATAGTTTCCAGATCTGCAGACCCAGCCCTAAGCATGCTCTTGAGCATGTAGGCAAACCAGACTTTTTGGTGTACCTTTGTGTTCAGCTTTCTTTAACTCATTATCCCTCACAGCCTCCTATGATTCCTTCTCAAGGTGTACTGTAGAACAGCCATTCAGCTGCCAGTTTTGCTCAGGTCTCCTATGAGTTCCTCAGCCAGGACAAAGACCTTGAATTGCTCTTTCTTGCACTGTGAAAACCTCTGGTGTCTGTATTCCTCTAGTGAAAAAATGGCATGTTCAACGAAAAAAGTGTTACTTTACAGCTGAGACCCTTCACATCTCACTGTGCAGGGCCAAGCACAACCTTGACCAAGCCTTGACCAAGCCAGGGAGACCACAGGGAGTTGAGTAACTGCCTGATGAAGTGCTTCCTGTACGCCTGTGGCAAATGCCATGTAGCAACATCCAGTGATGGACACTAGAAAAGTGGTAGTGTGACAAGGCCTGTATTTCTGAGTTTCAATGATCTCTTCTATCTACTCTATTGAAGGGACAGTTCCATTTTCCTGCCAAAACCTTGCGGGGCAATGTTATTCACTGCTTGATACCAGTCTGAAGTATTTAGGCATCTTGGGATGCAGTACACATCATCAGTCGAGTCCAGACTCCAGCTCTGAAAGACATCACCTTGGAGATTTCCTTTCACACCGTTGTCAAGCTTCACAAAGTAAATGTGCTTTCCCAACCTGGCTTTTCCAAAAGGATGGCTGCTCAAGGGACTGACTGCACTAACCATAAGGAGTAGATGTAGGCTGGAAGTGAGATGAAGATTTCCAAGTTGCTCATGCCCTCATGTTCTTGGGTCCACACCAGCCTTCAGCTGCAACAGATATTCCCTAGTACCTAACCCTTCTAGACAGCCATCGTGTCCTTTTCGCATGCTTGTGTTGCTGGATTGAGCAACAGTCTTCCTGATCTTCTCTGTAATATGCATTCTCCTTTCCTGTAGTGATCCTAACAGCCCTTTTTGGTGCTAGCTCTAGTTAAACTTTTTTAACATCATTGACTGGAATCACAAGGAATATTGCCCAATGAATGGTCAGCGGGGTCTTTCTTACCTCTTTCTCCTCACATGGGAAACATGGTTCTTAGTGTACTTTGTGTGTGCATGTGTACATTTGCAAACTTGTAGTTATTTACCCAGGAATTAGGTGGTTTTCCTTGGTTGCTTCCAACTGATGGTCTCTCTATTTATGAAAAAAAAGTAGTAATATTTGTTAGTCTCCAGAATCATGGCCTTGCCCTGCTTTTCATCTATAACACTGGCATCAGGTTTTTAATGTTTCTCTGCTGCAGTGACTGCATCAGACTGCTACGTGCGCTTGTGGCTGCCGTCTGCTTCAAATCGAAAGCTTCAGACCAAAACCATCAAGAATTCTGACAACCCTGTCTGGAACGAGACTTTCTACTTCAGGATCCAGAGAGAAGTTGAGGTAGTAAATAAATATAAATGTCACTATTTTGAATAGCTGAGGATTGTTAGTTGACACCCTGTCAATCAACTGTGCTAATTAACTTAAGAAAATGCGTGTGTAATAGAATTTGCAGCTGATTGGTTGGGACATGGAACTGTTGGAACAAGTCCAGAGGAGGCCACGAGGATGATCAGGGGATTGAAGCACCTCCCATATGAAGATAGGCTGAGAAAGCTGGGGCTGTTCAGCCTGGAGAAGAGAAGGCTGCGTGGAGACCTCATAGCAGCCTTCCAGTATCTGAAGGGGACCTATAGGGATGCTGGGGATTAACTATTCATTAGGGGCTATAGGGATCCTGGGGATGAACTATTCATTAGGGACTGTAGTGATAGGACAAGGGGTAATGGGTTAAAACTTAAACAGGGGAAGTTTAGATTGGATATAAGGAGGAAATTCTTTCCTGTTAGGTGAGGCACTGGAATGGGTTGCCCAGGGAAGTTGTGAATGCTCCATCCCTGGCAGTGTTCAAGACCAGGTTGGACAGAGCCTTGGGTGGCATGGTTTAGTGTGAGGTGTCTCTGCCCATGGCAGGGGCATTGGAACTGGATGATCTTAAGGTCCTTTCCAACCCTAACTATTCTATGATTCTGTGATTCTATGATCTGGGCTATTTTGGGCTAATTTAGAAAGAGCTTTCCCTTCACTGGTTGTAAGGAAAGAGTAGAGGAGTAGCTGTGGATTAGACAGTGAATTTAATCCTACCCTAACCTGTGTAGTTAAAAGAACTTCGGGGGTGTGTTCTTTGGGCAGGTTATCAGTATGGTGCAGAGCACTGACATCTTTTCTGTCTCAGAATAGTGGGAGCTCTCTGTTACAGGTCGTTTTCGATTTCATGTTTCCCAAGACTGGGTTTAATGATGGTGTTTCCCATTATCAAACCCCTCAATGAAAGCATGTTTCTTTATTCTTACTATTGTGCTAGTCAAGCAGCTGCAAAAGTCTGTAACCCCTTTTTATTTCTGTGTGATAGCAGCTCAATAAGAGTTCTTACTTTTTTTTTTTCTACTACCAGAATGTCTTAGAACTGGCAGTGTGTGATGAAGATCCACTCACCAAAGATGACATGCAGTTCACAGTTCTTTTTAATGTTGCTAGAATCAGACCAGGGGAGTCAATCCGTGAGACATTTGCTTTGAAATCAGAGGTAAGGATTCAGGAGACTTTACAGCAGCCTTCCAGTACCTTAAGGGGGGCTATAGAAACACTGGAGAGGGACTTTCTATGAGAGCAAGTAGTGATAGAAAAAAAGGGAAAGGCTTTAAACTGAAAGAGGGGAAATTAGATTAGGCATTAGGAATAAATTCTTCATTGTGAGGGTGGTGATGCACTTAACAGGTTGCCCAGAGAAGCTGTGGCTGCCCCATCCCTGGCAGTGTTCAAGTCCATGTTGGACAGGGCTTGGAGCAATCTGGTCTAGTGCAGGGTGTCCCTGCCCATGGAAGGTGGTTGGACTGGATGAGTTTTGAGGTCCCTTCCAATCCAAACCATTCCATGATTCTATGAATCTATGAAAATACAGGGAGAGTTTGGCAAGACCTCATTGTCCACACTGGCTTCTATGTTAAGTGGTGTTTGGGTCTGAATAAACAGATAGCCTTATATACCATTATCAGTATTTCATCAAAACAGATATAATGTGCTGAATTTTTGTGACTTCATTTATCTCTTCTCACGGATTCAAAAAATGAAGCAGCTTTTCTTTCATTCCCAGCATCTCTTTGAGGCCAAGAAATGTTAACAGAGAGCATTTATAAATAGTCATTTTTATATTTTATAGTCCAAATAAATAACTGCCTTACCTTTTGTCTTTATTCAACTTTTGCCATGCTTAGAAGACACTTCCTCTTTAATGGCAAATCTAAGGCAACTTTAAGACATGAAGACAATCCACTCAGCACCTGAATGAAATGGTTCTTTCAGGCTTCTCCTATTGGTGATCTTGCTGGATTTCCTTCTAGGTGATTCAGATTTCTGTAGCCCATAGTAAAGGCTCATCTGTTCTGCTAACATCTTTGGTATTCTATTAAAGAGTCCATGAAAAACAATTGTCCAGAGAACAAAGCTGGGGTAGGCCTGCGACAACACCAGGGCTTGTCTGAGCTGTGGCTGAGGTATTGCTACATGCTCATTGCAGGAAGGAAACAGTCCATATCCAAAAGAACAGCTATTTCAAATGCTGGAAGCTGTTAACATGGATATTCCTTGTACCCTGCAGACTGGTGCCATGCACTTCTCAGCCAGTGGGTGAGTCACTGGGAAATGGAATGATTCAGTAACCACCTCAGTACAGACTACTCTTGCCAACCTCATCTCTGCTGGATTCCATGCTCTGTACATGGAAATGACACTGGCCTTAGTCACTTTTGTTGCTGGGCTTCAACGCCTTTCTCCCATGCACATCATGTTTACAGTAAGCCATTATATTTCTGCGTCAGTCAAGCTTTCCCTGGTGATTTTATCTTTGGAAATATGTATAGTTCTACACATCCCACAATGGGGGAATGTTGATCTTATGTGCTTTTTGCAAGCATGTGGTTTCCGTTGCAGTCTTGGCTTTGGAAAGAGGTAACACAGCTTTTCTTGGTAACATCAGCAGCAGAGATGTCAGCCATGGAAGTGCTTTTTTGTGTGTCTATACTGCCAAATTCTTGTAGCCTCCAATAATCCATATTTATTTTACCTTTTTCTTTGTAGAGAGAGACATGTACTAAGAAATGGGAAAGTTTAGAAGTGGAATTCTGGATGGAAAGAATGTGAGTAAAATTTCAGAGCTGAAAATGTATAGATCTGCCAGGGACTAATGGTATCTCAGAGAAAGAGGAACTTCTTCCAGCTTTTACTCCCAGCAGCGAGCTGAAGTTAGTGTCAAACGTTTTTACCTTAAGTTCCCCAGCTAGTTCTGTCATTCAGTGTATTTCATACAAAATTTATCTTCTGTTCAACATGTATATCCTGATCGTGGAAATATAGTAACATTGGCACAATGTGATAACTTGGACACAAGGTACATGTAAAACTTAATAGAGTTGCTCTTGAAGTTAATATTAATTGAACAATGCCTAGAACACTGTGGTGAAATTGAACCCAGGATACTTGGTTAAACTTGAAAAACAACAAATAATAAAATTAAGACCATCCCCCTTGAGGTGGTAATCAACATTGCCTGGAGGAGTACAAACCCGGCAAGATTAACTTTATCTCTCTTCTAAACACCATTACTAGTTTGGTTTTAAAAACAACCGTAAACTACACATTCTGGCGTATCTGAGCTTAGCATTACCCCCAAAAAGTAACATAGTCCAGTCAAAACTGATTAATTGCGTGGTAAATGTGGCTTCTTATTCTTAGACATGGAAAAGCTGCAGAAGAAAATCACTGGTGTTCTTGGTTAATTTCTCCCACAGTCAAACTTAGGGATATCTGTTTAATTTGTGTATGAGAGGTACTTTAAGAGATGGCGTGTCTCCTGCAAATGGCAAATGTGGATGCAGTCACAGGCAGATATATAAAAATGACAGAATAAGATGCAGTGCTTGGAAACTGGACTGAGCAGATTCTGAGTACATAAGAGGACCATTTTTCACCATTCAAGTTATAAGGCATGTGGGGGGTTCTCCACCCTTGGAAGTCAAACCTACTTATTTATATTTAAATACATTTTACAGCTGAAATAAAAGTTTTAATGCTGGAAGTGATGTTTGGTAAAATACCCCAGACTTTGCAGAAAGTCAAAGGTTACATACTACATAACTTTATTGGTCCTTTAAGATATATGAAAGCTCTTACGAATGTGTGTAGCAGTTGGGGTATTGATCTGAATGAGAGGTGCTGTTAGTAGACTCTATAGATTCTCATAGTATTAAATAACTATACCCATTCAGTGACTGACCTAGGTCTTACAAGGTAAAATGTCTGGGACAAGACCTTCTATTACTTACCTTTGTGTTTTCCAGTCATACATATAGCTCAGTGGGAGCTAATTCTTATTTGCTCTTCATTTGTAATCAGTTGTAAATTATAATCTGGAACAGTCACAACTGTCTTTCCTAATAAGTATTTACAGAATGCATTAATAGTAGTCTTTGCTTTCCTCAAGTCATATGCTCATTTGTTAATAGCAGGACATGGCTCCACATAGACCAGTGTGTCTTTGTTCTGCTGTATCTTAGCATATAGTCTTAAGCATTGGTATTTTTATGGGCTCTCCTGCCTTTCTTCTTGTTAGGCTACTATATTTTGGTTCACGTGCTTAGCTGGTGATCATGTATTATGCCTTTTATAAGGCAAACAGTGATACTAATGTAACTGTATTACATTTTAAGCAGGAAAGATTGTAAAACTACTGTTAAAAAAAACCCAAAACAGATATTCACACAGCTTCTGTTTGTTTTCTGATTCTGTCTTTTCAGTCCTGGCCCTCCAGAGCACATAATTACCAATGACGTCCTAGTGGTAAGTTTCACACATGAATTTAGCTTGGAGTGACTTCTCCTTTGGTTTGAGTCTCTCCTCTTCCTCCCATCCATCTGACATTTCAGAAGCTACAATAAAAGATAAAAGGATGGTGTGCATTATAAAGCAAAAATTGTGGAACAATTCCAATTCATTATGGCTTAACTGTTGCCCTCTTGATTCAAGGAGAGAAGCAGTGTTTCTTGAAGTCCTCAGGTTTTACAAATGTCAATATTTTGCCCATCTCTGGTTTGTTCATGTTGCAGAACCCCGCATTTGTTGATGTTCAAAGTGAAAACTGCTTGTGTTTTACGTAATACAGTATGGCACTTGGCAGGAAAAACAGAGGTTATAAAAGGGATGAGTCTGTAGGTTGTTCAGTATACTCATGGCTGGAAAGTTATCTAATTTAACAGCTTTTTGGAAAATGAGTTTTTTAATAAATAATTATTTTAGTCATTGAAACATAAAGTCCTCCTTTAGTGTTAGTCAGCACGGGGTATATTACCTATGTCCTTGGGCTGGCCCAGCAGCTAAGCCTTACAAAGTACTGTTTGTCAACCACTCCAAGGCTACACGTGATTTCCAGATGCTAGTCTTCAATACCCCTGAGACAAAGTGACACATATTCTTTTCTTCCCCCACCTCATTTTCTGTGTGAGGCATAAGGGCTGTAATGATTGGCATGAGTTGTTCCTGAAATGCCTTGGAAAACTGACCTGGCATGAGTTATTAAAGGTAAACTGGAATGACTCAGGTGGAATATAACCATGATTTCCCTGCATCAGGACCAGCAAGAAGATACCTTGTAAACTAATCACTGCCACAATACACAGAAACTCATCATCAGGTGTTTTCCCTCACCTTTCCTAAAGAATTATCAGATATATGTGTAGCTGTTTGGGCAACTGTGTTGTACAGTATCCTGATTTTGGGATAACTTTAATGGGTATAACAACATCTGGCAATATACCACTGTATGGACAAACTAGTTCTGAAGGAGTGTAGCTGGGCTACTGTCCTAGGTTAATAAGCACTGAATTTACTCTTGTGCAGCTGGATTGCTTCCAGCATTGAGACCAGTTTAGTTGGCTCTATATTATAGGTAGTGTTTGTCTGCATGATGTTTCATTATTTGCAGCAATGTGGTATTTGCTATCTTCACAATTTTCCACTCCTGTTTTTTACAGTCCCGTGATGTCTGCTGCTTGGAAGTGCAAGTGGACATTAATGAAAGCAGGAAATATTTGAAAGGTACGCTGATTTCTCTGTCAACTGAGGCCATGACTGTATCAACCCTATCGTAGTCATTCAGATCCAGATGGTTGCACTTTAGGGTACAGAGATGACTAAGGGTGTTCTAAAGACAGTAAAATGTAATGGAGTGAAAGTCCCTGAACTGCCTCCATTTGTAACACTTATCGCTGCGTCTTTTCCTAGTATGGACACAGTAAACTTTGCTGGTGGAAGTATGATAGAGTGCTGACTCTGGGAGCACCCCAGGCTTTGCGGTAAAGGCAGGAGCACCAGTTTCTGTGCTGTAGGAGACTTGCCAGTGTGGCATCTTACACAGTTACCACAGAGAATGACTCCAGAATAGTTTTCCGACTATGTTGGCTGTTTCGCCTGAACAGTGGTATTATTCTCTGAAAAAACCTCTTTTCCCTAGAGGGTAAAAATCTCGTGCTTACGGTGCCTGAATCTCATGAGAGAATACAGAAAACCACAGAGGACACAGACACTTTCTACTTCCATTGTGTGAAGGCTTGGGAGCCAGTTCTGAAAATCAGGCTGCAGGTAACGGAGGCTGCACACTACCACTGTTCATACTGCTTGCTCTTTTCATTGTCACCAAAACAGTAAAGAACTGAATTGTTTCTATTCTGTGAATAAACCCCATGTTTTTTGTTCTCTGTAGAAAGTTTCTGATAAGGAATATGAGGACAGCAATTTAAGTGACACCTTAACAGTTCCACTGAAATTTCTCCCTGTTGGATATAAAGTGAAAATAACCCTCCCTGTAAGAAATGTAAGTGCTTCACCATTTATATTTTTTTTTGAGAGAAGAGTAACCCTCAGTATTTAACACCAAAATATTTAAAGAAAAGAATAAATTCCTAAGCCTGAATGAGAATTTTGTGTAAATACAAGTTTTCTCTGAAGAAAAAAGGTTAATTATCTAGTGAGATACCAATTTTCTTTCAATAAAATCCATAATTTGGAATTCATCCTGGTTAGTTCAAGATGCTGTCCTTACACAGTTAAAGGTGAATATTCAGTACTCCTAGCAAGGTTTTGGGAAGCCCCAGTGCTCTTTATCAAGCCTTGATGGTTAGCTCAGTCCATATACCTACATTTAAGATGGCTAAAGTTAGGTGAGTTGAATCTTACCCTCGGAGAACAATTCAGATCACAGAATGGTTTAGGTTGGATAGGACCTTAAAGATCACCTAATCCAACACTCTGCTGTTATGTTCTTGTGGGTACAGTCGTAATTGTAACTGATGTTTAGTTGCTTTCCTTCTCTTTCCCAATACAGTTTTCCAAAGAACTCTATGCAGCGTGGTAGTGATGGGGTATTCCAGGTAGCCCTGAAAGTCTGGATTTCAAACTTCTCTTTTTCCCAGTGATTCACATTCCTGCTTTTAATTTTTCTTTACAGAATGTGCCACTGTATTTGTACCTCCAACTAAATGATTGGTAAGAGGACTGGGTTCTTTTTCTCCAAAGGTTTTATTGCTCTTTGAACTATGACTTCTAGAACAGTGTCCTTTACTTAGATACAAAGAATGCACATGACTAGGGGCAAACTATTATGATAATTAAGTCACCATTAAAGAGTCACCACAACAGATCAAAGTTAAATGTCCTTGGGGCAAAAGAGTCACACCAAGATGCAGAAAACCCCCACCAACCTATGAGAATTTCAAACAGTAAGGAACTTAGTCACTGAGTGTCCTTTGCATCAAAGAACCAAAGGCTGAGATTGGAGGCGTCTTCAAAAGAGACACAGAAGCAGGAAGGCAAAGGGAAAAAGGAATTTGAAATGAGCAAAACAGTCAGAGCCCATGCATTACTCAAACCACACAGGTGCTCTTAAGCAAACAGATTTGCAGCTCTGGTGATATCAGTGGAAAGAAGGACAAGTAAGGGAAGATGAAAAGTTGCACTGTAAAATAATGAGACAGACACATATAAACCAAATTTATTCAAATATATTTTTCATTGTACTTTTTCTGTATAAATCTGTGGTACAAATCCCCAGGAAAGACCTTGTTTAGGTTCAAGTCACCCTTTGCTTAGAAATTATGTGAAGCAGAAATAGAAAGGATTCAGCTTACAAAGACATAAAGAAGCCTTTCTTTTTTCATATTTCCTGCCCTTAGCTGGCAGTAAAACTTGCACTGAAGCATTAGAGAATAGAGACTATGTAGAAGCAAAGCAGTTGATTTCTTTGAAACTGGAAGGTGGATTTCTGTCTCTAAATCTGAGTAGTGAATCATGCTTTTTTTCTGATATTTAGCTGACTGCAGTTATTGAAAATAGATCCATCTACATTCTAAACACCATTCCTATGCCTCTGTTTCAGCACAGAAAAACTAGATGTGCGCTTAGGCTATGATTTATGCCGAGAAGAACAAGAATTCTTGCTAAAAAGGAAGAGAGTGGTTGCCAGTGCCCTGAAAGGGGTGCTTCATCTGGAAAGAGATCTACATGGACACGAGGTCTGTGAGTTGGAATCCAAGCTTGGGGTGTGGGTCTGTTCAGTTAGGATTTGCACATCTCCCCACAAAATTCCTAGTAGTTTTTGCATGTTGATGACAACCCCATTGATGTGAATGACAGCAGAACAGGAGTTCTCATTGTGGCATAGTCATATTCATCTAAAATTTCAGCTCAGCTATTCATGCCTCCATTCTTCTCAATAGGTCAAATTCCGAAGGACATAATGTACTACTTTTCAAAGCCAGAGCTTCAACAGTGTGATGCAGTGGGTCAGCAAGATACAAGGTGTTGGTACACTGTGTTAGACACAGCCTAGTCAAACAACACAAACCAAGCAGGAAAACAGGAGTATTTGAAATTCACCTCACATAGATGTTTATGAAATCATTGTAATGTCCCTTCTTTAGACTTACTTTCACAAAAAGTCAAAATTCTTTAGGGTGGAGAAAGAACATTTTATAACAAACTCCAGCTGAAATGTTTTGTTGCCAAGATCCAGGGCAAATTTTTAAGTGAACATGATTTTCTTGCTGGAATAAGTTTTGTTAAATAGATGCTCTCCAGAGAATAATTTTGTCTACTTGATATATTTTTTTTCTGAACTTAAATCCCTTCTTAATTACACTTATTGCCGTTTTTGTTATTTGTAATAAAATCATATCATTATCTCTTAATCATTGCAATTCCAATTATAACGAAGAAGGTGGGGAAGGAAAGGTAAAATTCATTGCATATTCAAAATCATCCAAACTCATCCAAGCTTTGGGGTTAAGGGAACTCAGTGAGTATCTGGAGGTTAATTTAAAGCAGGTACTGGTAAAGGCTGGCAGAATGTGGCATTAATTTCATTGTCCTCTTAAGAAGTCTGAGGAAAAGAGCTGTAATTAGACTTGTCCATGTAGGCAAGTGAGTAACTTTTTGAAGATAATACTTATGTCTTGAACAGGTCCCAGTAATAGCTGTTATGGCAACAGGCGGAGGCCTCAGAGCTATGTCAGCTATGTTTGGCCACCTCATAGCTCTCCAGAAGCTCAATCTGTTGGACTGTGTTACCTACGTCACTGGGGCTTCTGGCTCGACATGGTGTGTATAGCAAATGAGATTTGTATTTGGAATGACTCTTAGACTACATTTCTACACAGTGAGAGAGATGCACCTCTTTCAAAGTCTTACATTGTTAATAGGTGAATGTAATTCCCAGGTAAAGCTGTTACTGTTGACTCTCAATCATAACTTCAGTTTATGCTTGTCAATTCTCTCTTTTGATGAAAGTGGTTGGGTCAATATAGTAATTTTCCAGAACTATGCCTATAAATGGATTATTTTCCCATATTTCTGTTCTTTAGGACCCTAGCAGACCTGTATGAGCATGCTGACTGGTCACAGAAGTCTCTGGAGGGGCCACTTAAGGCAGTAAAAGAACAAGTGACAAAATGCAAGCTCAACCTTATGTCTATAGAACATCTGAAGTATTATCACAAGGAACTTGCTGAAAGAGCAAAAGCAGGGCATGTGTCATCTTTTACAACTCTGTGGTCCCTTGTTCAGGAAATGTTTTTACATGAACGGGTATGTGCATGGTCCTGACACGTTTGGGAAATATCCAGTAATTTTCTTTAGAGCTTTACATTTTGAGGGCATGACATAATGTATGGAACAAATCCAAAGTGAATCCCAGTGTGATTTGTAAACCATGACAAAAGATCCTGTAGCCAGGATTTTCCATAGTAGCTAATGGTTTGAAGGTGCCTCTGTACTAAGGGTACCCAACAGCTAGCAACTGGTAGGAAAACTTGCAGAAAAAACTGAGCAATCCCCCCCTGAAAAATCAGGTCTTTTGAAGTCTGTTTTAGTTGGACACTTAAGAGCTAGAGTAATCTGTCCTCATGTGAATATTAGTCTCAGCCTTAGGAAAGATCTGTGGGATGCAGGCAATCAAGGCACTTTGATGTTAATGAAAAAGTTACTAGGAATCAAAAAAGCAACCAGGAAGGAAAGTGCAGGAACATGAAGGAAGAAGTCTCTTATAAAAATGTGACTCACAGATTCCTCTAGATTGTAAAACATTTACGATCTATGTGTGCCCAGATAGATTGTATTGGGTTTTTTTTTTTTTGCCTTATGCTCTTCCAGAGGTTTACTGTGTTTTTTTTAATCTATCTATTTATCTATCTCTTTAATTAGCCAAGAAAGTACAAACTCACAGACCAGCGCAAAGCATTGGAGCATGGACAAAACCCATTGCCTTTCTATTCAGTCCTCAATGTGAAAGAGGAAAAGTTCAGTACATTCAGATTTAGAGGTAAGTATTCCTAGAGTTTTTTCTGACTCTTAAGTCAGGACAAAAGAGAATTCGGAGGAAGGGGTTGTGTGTGTGTAGAAGAAAAGGGGAATACATCTGTTGCTTGCCCTGACTTGGTATTCATCTTTTAATAAAATGTCTTTTTTGCAAACTGCTGCATGTTGATTACAAAGAGCACATCTGCTGTATGACATCCACAGGCACAAACAGGGCATTTCTGAAGAGCTGGGCTGAAGTTCTAGTTTTGCCACAGACATTGTGAGTGTGAGCAAATCATTTGATCTTTTTCTGCCTCAGATCCACACCTATAAAATGGTTTTGATGGTTCCTTAGTTTACAGAGGTGCTGTGAAACGTGATTTTCACTGCCCTAAATATTAGACTGATGGAAGTATGAGAATGCAGTATGATTGCTGTAATGGGTGTGATATGACATCCATTAAATAGACACAGACAACATTCAACAAAAGATATTAAAATGAGCAGATACGGGAAAGAAAAAGAACAGTGCTTACATTTGGTTTGGTTTGTAGCTACTGTTCTACTGCAATACATGAGCAAGACAGCATGAGTCAGGAAAGTGCACGACCATGCCCACACTGTGATACTTTCTAGTTCAGCGCTGATGTGTCTTCTGACTGCTTTATTGTATCATGTAGGCTGACAGGTTTGGGTTAGTAGAGGTTTAATGCCAGTCATTCCTTGCAGGCTGGATCACGCTTGCATGTTGTACATCTGATGCTCTTTAGAGAGCAAGTGGGATCCCAGAATCTTTATATAGGAATATATATATAAGCTTTTGAAGCTAATGTTAGACTCATTCTGAGGTGAAAAAGTTAGTTCTTTTTGTATGCAAATTATCACTCAGTTTTGCATGAAACTAAACAGTGTAGTTTGCAATACAAAGTTACTGACAGTTCAGAGCTGCTGAGACAAGTAAGGTCTAATGAGCCCATGGATAGCTTCATCCACAGGGGAAGGTTTTGTTTTCTATTACATTAAACATCCTATGTGTCAATTCTTTTGTAGAGTGGACAGAGTTCTCTCCTTACGAGGTGGCCATACCAAAATATGGAGCCTCGATTCCTTCAGAATACTTTGACAGTGAATTCTTCATGGGAAGGCGAGTGAAGAAGCTGCCAGAATCTCGGATCTGCTATCTGGAAGGTGACCTATTAGTGCAGTATATTTAATCAGAACATGGTAGAAAGTGTGGTGCTAGCTAGCCAAAGATCTGTATACAACACTCCTTCCCAGCAAGTCTCCACTAGGTCTTGATTCACAGGTCTTTTTATCCCTTTTGTAATTGCTGCTTGTTGTAAAGTTTATTTCCTTCTGTCCTCCCTTTCAACCTGGGCAGATCTGGGGAAGTTGCAGCATGGTTCCCCTTCCAATTTTCTGAACCAAACAAGAAGGTGGAGCGGGCAAACTGGAAATAATAAGCCTTTCTTCCCTGAGCAGTCACCTACTGTTAATTTCTAGACAATGCATTGCTGAGGTAGAATTGGAAGGAACTGAAAATAAAACATAACTCATGTAGAACATGAACATGTAGAACAACCCACAAAGGTGACAACAATGACAGCTTTGTGGGTTGAGAATGGTGTCACTAATCTTCCCTACACATAAGGATGAAGGAAGTCCTTTTAACCTCCCACAACTGCTTTGACTAGCTGTTCTGCCTGTAAAGGTGAAGAAAAGGAGAAAAGTCAGAGGAATGCATCTGCCCAGGCAGATTTTAAATCCTTGCCAGAATTTTAGCTTTTAAAACCAAAACCAAGGATCCAGTGGAGACAGAAACTGTATTTGTTACACTGTGAAGACTGCTGGAGATTGTATTTGTTCCTCATGTGAGTATTTGGCATGGGTCTTAACGACAAAGGACAGCTCTTTCTTTTCCAAAAGGAGACTTACATATGGAGCCAATTCTATTTTGATCCTGAACCAGTTGAACTCTACAGAAACAAAACATGCCTGAAAGGAAAAAATGGGTCTTAGATCAATTTAAAGAATAAATATGTTTAAGGAGGCCTTTATGCTTATATGTCTTCTCCATACTTTTAATGCCTGCTTTCTTCCACAAGTGCACAATTGAAATTCTAAAACATAATTTGGGTGACTGATACCTCTTATTTTGTTACTCTGTACTATACAGTGGATTGTCTGTCTTAACAGGGTCACTTCACATGAGCCAATAATATGCAGCTTGTATCCAATAATATGGATACTTGTAATAGTATTTAACATGTGGTGGTGCAGTATCTTTGCCATGTGGTTTGACTTGCAGGTCTTTGGACAAACATCTTTACTAGGAATTTGCTGGATGGCTTGTACTGGTCCTCAAATTCAAATGAATTCTGGGAACGATGGGCCAAGGATATGGTAGATATAGGTAAGAAAGAGTTTCAAAATCAGTATTTTGACCAGATAGTTCAAGGGAGGATTAAGAAAGATACGCTATTGCTACTGTTTGTGAGTAACCTCTCACATGTTCTCTCTGAACTGCTGCATGGTGTGTTGCCTCACTGTGGATCTTTCCCCTGTATCAGAAAGTTCACTATGTGATGTTTTAATTTTATTTATTTTATTTTCTTTTTTATTATAGGGGATTTTTTTATACTCAGATGCACACTTCATGCTATTTACAAATACCTTTCATTTAGAATTTGCTCATGATCTACTAAATGAGAAATGCAAATGAGAAGGATGGCTTTTACTTGTAGGCAAAAGTACAAAGCCACTGTGTCATGAAAGAGTAAAAGACAAAACCTGTGCTTTCTTTAAACCAAACCAGATATCTCTTTGTTTAAAAGGGGCTGGTCATGTGCTTATGTTTTCAACCAAACTGCAGGAAATGTATGTGTGTGTGGGGCGACCCACAGGAAGACAGCAGGGGCAGTAGCCAGTGAAGGTGCCTGGCAGAGCCCATTGCTGATGTTTTCTTCTCACAGTCCCTTCTCTATTTCAGAAAAGCATTCCCCTGAGGAAGACATCACTGTCATCGAGCCTCCTTCTTGCTTGTCAGGGAAGCTGTATGAGATGTTTCAGGACATTATGACCAAGCGTCCACTTCTGGGAAAGTCTCATAACTTCCTGAGAGGCTTAGAATTTCATAAGGATTATATCCGTCAGAGAAAGTTTATTGAATGGAAAGGTAACTGCAACAAAGCGTTAGCTGCAGTGTGCAGGTAACATCTCAGATATTTCTTTTATTATACTTTGTGAATCTCACATTTAGAGATATTTTCTCAGGGTCTGGAAATCTGCTGAGGTGGAACTATATTCATGGTGTCTGTTTCTTAAGGGTAACAGGTTAAAATGAACTGTTCCATGGGTCACTCTTTCACCTCCTGAAGATATCTGTAATTTATGTCAAAGCATGCTCTTCTACAGGAAGTTTGTCACTTCTTAGGTACAGTAGTCAAAAGACTCAGAAAGAGTAGAGTCCTTTGAGGTCAAGAAACAAAGGTAACACCGGAAGCATAAAATAGCAGGTTATTATGTGGATCAGATGAAGGAAAGGACAGGTTGCAAACGTGGTTGCCCATATGCGTGCTATTACTGCTGGATGATTTATCCATCCAGACACCTCTCAGACTCTTCAGAAAAAGAAATACGAGGATCCAACAACGAGTTAAAGCCACCTAGGTTTAGACTGCAGGTAGAATGTGTAGATTTCATGTACAAATCCAACAGTAATTTCCTATGGCCTGTGCTCTGCAGGCAGGCAAAGTAAAGAGTCGTGACAGTTTTACCTCAAAATCTGTGGAGCAATCAGTGAAATGATAGCAAGGTGACAGAGCCAAGGCTTTATGCATCAGAAACCTTCCTGCAATCCCAGCATTCCCATTTATCCCATGAGCAGGCAGCAGTGTGGGAGGACCCTCCTAGATTAACATTATCAAGGTGTGTTCTCTGCCTCCTCTGAGTCCTTCTCTTTGGTAACTTGTGTTTTCTCTCCCCCGTTTCATGCAAGTTACAACACTTTTTGCCCCTGGCTGCCACTGCTACATGGTTTGCTGACAACGGCAAGAGATGGTGGAGCTTTTTTGTAGGTGAAGGCAGAGCCTGCAGTGTGCTAAGCTCTTTCAAAATGTTCAGTAAGCAAAAAGTCCATATTCTAAAGAGTCTGCTCTAAGAAAACAAGTGGCAGAAGGAGAAAGCAAGTAGCATAAGAAGGGTGGGTGAGAGAAGGAGCAAGTATCTTAAGAAAGTGGATGGAGGACAAAATTGACAGTCAGTAAATGCATAAAAAAATCACTTTCCTTACTTTTTTTTTGACTAGCAATTTTGTAAAGGCAAATGGGTAGAAGCAGATTTCAAGTGGGATTTGGAGGAAGAGAACATAGAGAAACTGAAGCCTGCTTCAGGTTAGATATTCTACAAAATAAAGTAAAAGAGGTGAAAATCATGAAATCTGGAGTAGGAAAAGGGAAACTGAATGTCTGGAGTAGGAAAACATAGCAGATTTTGTATCATCTTTTGGCTATCTGCATCATGCCAATCTAAAGCCAAGTACGGATCTCTAGGAGCAGGAGGAAATGCCAGCTCAGTGAACAGAAATTACAGTTTAATGTTAGGTGAAGTCTCCAGAATATAGCTGTGTTTTAAAGCTTCCCTGCAGCTCAGGTTATCTGACACATTAAAACAAGACTTTAAATGCCATGTGAAAAGCCTATTTTTCACGGTGAGAAATTTGAGAACTTGTAGCCTGGAATTAGTGTAATGCATTTACAGGAGGGCTCATGCTTTCAAGGGAGTTCCTGAGGCAGGCCTTACTTAAAGTCCCTTTTTGGGTGTGCAATGGAAGAAGAGGCTTTCCCAATGAAAGGTCTACTTCTAATTCATATATCCAGCCATGAGAAAATGCTGCATGGTTCTATCTCTGTGATAACAAAATGGGGGTAACGGGATTTCAACTAAAACTGTTCACCAAGCCAAATAAAAGGGCAAAGTACACTCTGTTTCTGTGAGTGACTGCAAGCAAATGTCTCTCATTAGAGCAGAATCTGTGAATTCCCAGCAACCATGAATGCTAAAATAAGCAAATAATTTTCTGAAGACCTGGCAGTGAGGGAATGGAAAAAAAGATGAGTTATTACTTCAAGCTGCTGTCAAACATTACAGGCCCTGGAACAAGCTAGAGCTATTCTGCATGGTTTAAATCAACATGAATGAGTCCAAGGAGGCAGAGACATTGAAAGAAGTGAAATGTTGGAACTTACCTGCAGTATTTTTGTGATCAACAGTTTCTTAAAACACCTAAGCACAAATGATTTAAGGCTCTGCTCTGTGCTTTGCTCCCTCATTCCATGAACTTGAGGAACACTCTTTAAATGACTGTTTTCGTATTTAAAACCATGGCAAAATGTTTCATATTCCATGGGACTAGAAATGGCACGGGGGAACGATAATGGACTTGCTGTCTACAGGGCAGGCTGGTGGAGTTGTAAGCAGAGGAACAGAAGTTCAGCTATGAGCAGTTTATGAGTATAGATATCAATGTACCAGTTGGTATAATCTCTTTTGTCTCCTTTTGGTGTTAACGTGAGGTTTAATTAACTCAAGCAATATTTTAAGCTGTTGGTAGGGGATGCTGTGAGCATGATGTGGTATGTTTTTGTAGCATGGCTCAGATCATTTATACGAAAGCAGGTTGAAGTCAGATTTCTTACCCTGTGATAGAAGTCTAATCCAGAGAATGCAAAAGCAAAAGAAGAGCAATGCAGACTGTAGTGGTGTACTGCGTTTGTTAGACCTGTTGCTGCACTCTGAAACTGTTTGTGCTGTTTTCATTGTTTTTCCCAGTTCTCAGGGGAAAAAAAATAAAATCGGCCAGATTCTGTATTCTGTGAGAAATGGCTCCCCAGAGCAGCGGTGAGGCCAGCGGAGCCTGTGTCTCAGCTGTGAGCCTGGCTGCCTCAACAGCCTGCCTCTGTGAGTGTGCTGGGGGAGTGTGGTAACAGGCTCAGACGTGCAGTTTGGAGGGAGTGCTCCTGAGGCCACGTTTGTGGGCTCGCCTTATGGAGGGAGGTGAGCCTGGTCTTGAGGGCAACCAAAGGGCTGCCCTTAGCACAGACAGATTTACTGAATCCTCCTTTCCTACCAATGCGCCACTAACTGTATTAAAAATGTTTTTCAGACTCTGTGCTGGACGGTTTCCCTAACAACCTGACACCGCTGCAGAAATATCTTTGCCTGATAGATGTTGGCTATTTCATCAACACCAGTGGTGCAGGGCTTTTCAAGCCAGAGAGAAATGTAGATGTCATTATCTCACTTGATTATGGATTGGGGAATGTGTTCAAGGTGAGAAGAGGAGCATACTTGGTGCCTTGGGTGACATGATTTAGTGTGAGGTGTCCCTGCCCATGGCAGCGAGTTAGAACTAGATGATCTTAAGGTCCTTTCCAGCCCTGACTATCCTATGATTCTATTCTATGATTCCTTGCCATCCTGGTAAAGCTGCTTGTGTGTTATTAACACTTTTAAGAAAGTGGCTCTCTAAATCTTGATCGTATAGTCAAGAGCAGAACAGTCACCAGATCTTGGAGGAGGAAAGAAACTTTCCCCGAGACTAGAACTATAGAAACTGTTAGGCTTTTTCCTCTATAGTGGATTGCAGCATATACTTTCTAGGATCCTCAGAGAATGCAGGAACAATTGGTTGCTGGAGATATGACCTTGATCTCTGTTGGTCTGTCCCCAAGACAAGTTCTAAGCATGGCTTTTGGTCATTCCCTCTAGCTGTAAAAAACTTTAATGGGTGATAAGAAGCATCTTCCAACTTGTGATGAGTGATGGCAGGATGCAATGTTATACTACGGCTACTTTGTACTACACATTCATTAGAGAGCGATTTTAGGGACTGAGTTAAGTTGCCATAGTATTTCTGTGATACCTCAGTAAACCTGATTCTTGTCTTCGTGTTATCTTTAAGGCAATGACATTCTGTTTCCACAGCAATTAGAGATGACATACAAATACTGCAAGGTACAAAAAATCCCATTCCCGAAAGTGGACATAAGTAAAGAAGAAGAGATGAACCCAAAGGAATGTTATGTGTTTTCGGATGCAGAGGACCCCAGAGCACCCATAGTAATCCATTTCCCCCTGGTGAATGATACCTTTAAGGAATTCAAGGAGCCTGGTAAGTTTGGTCAGCAAAACTATCTAGTTGAGTTCAGGCCATTTGTTTTTCCAGAGCATGGATCCCAGTTGTCCTTTGTAGCAGTAATTCTAAGTGAGGGCACTGCCTTCATGTGAGTGAGTCTATTCTGCCTCCTACCCATCATGGCCATACACATCTATTTGCCTGTTCCATTGGGCCACGAAGGAGCATGCCCACCCATCTGTCAGGACAGGCCTAGGTTACTGCATTCAGCTCAAAGTATGTAAGTTTCCACCATGGCAGAGGAGGAGGTGTCAACTCTTCCTCTTAATCTAGCCATGTTAATCTTCCCACCACAACCAGGATTATGTTCCCCATTCACAGAGTGAAACTGTATCTCTCATCTGGTAAACTATGATGCAACAAAGATAGCTGAGTCAGGTCCTTGTCTACACTGATAAGACTCCATGTACTGCTCAAGAAGCAGGTTAGCAAACCACAGCAGGCTCAGTGATTTTGAGTTCGACGCAGGACGGAACAAGGCTTTAAGCCACAATTTATGCGACAAGGCATACTGGAGACGGCAGTACTTGCAATGGTAAGATGTTGGGGAAAAAGGCCAGAATTCTTCCTCAGTAAGAAGAGATTGGGAACGTCTGCCAGCTGCTTCTTCTCTCACTCTCCCCCTGTTTTAAGACCTATCAGTAAGCAAGCAGACTGGGCACTAGTTTCTCCCATGTGCTCATGCAGTTGGGTTGGTTCTGTGTGGAGGTCCAGCAGGCCCTGGGCAGGAGAGTTTTCCTTCTGGTGTTGTCTTTGCATGCAGGCATGAAGCAGCAAAGGCCATATTAGTACAAAAGAGCGTCAGCATAGACTAGGTTTTCCAACAGCTTATGGGATACTCTGCAAAAATCAGAGAGTATCTTCTTACTGCTTTTGCTGTCTGACTTCCTTAACCTGAGACCTTCCTCTGTGCTGGAGCTCTTACAGCAACAAACCTTGAATTATCTCACACACCACCTTCTGAGCTTCTGCTTTACCTCACTTAGCCCACCAGACAGAGCATTAGCTCTCCTTCCAGCTTTACCCCAAATTGTACTGTGGTGTTGGGTGGGACCACAAGAAAATGGATGTTTGTGAGGGAAAATCTGGAGAAGGTTTTAAACAACAGGAAAGGAGGTCAAGTAAAGCTCATTTTGCTTTATGAAGTTCACCAGTGTTTAGAGAGTATGTGCAGTAGGAGATACACCAAAAAAATCACATTTAGAAACTGGATGAACAGAGGAGGTACCCAGAAAAAGGAGCTAGGTTTGTTCAGTAGAGGCTGGAGATGGTCAAAATGGCAATACACAGTGAGATACATCCATTGAGCAGTGACTAGCAGGTAAAAAGGGTGTTTTATATTGTCTCTGAATGAAAGATGGATGAGATTATGTAGAGCAAAGCTGCTGCTGCAGCTTCTCAGCGTCCAGGACCAAGCTGATGAGCTGCAATGCTCACCTGCATGTGCTTGAGCAGCCGCTGATTCATCAGTCAAGCTGACAGCCTGCAACTGATGTGGGTGGTTGGGGAGGGAGGTCCTTGGCAAGCTGCTTGTGTGGATTTCAAGTTTAACAGTGGAGCTTTTCATTTCTAGATGGCTGAGAGACACCTTGTGGAATGCGGGTACTTATTTGTCTTGCTTTTAACTGTTTAAACTCTAGAAAACAGAATCAGCTTGTGAAGTGCCCATTCACATTGCAATTACAGACTGTGATTTTGTGTGCTTGAGGCAGATGCAGCTGTATGGGTGTGGATAGCAGAGACAGTATGTCTCTCAGTGTGGGGAGGCTCAGTGAAGCAAACCTTGGACATTTCTAATACAGCAACTTCTCGTGACAGCCTGTGCCCAGCACGCTCAGGTCACGCTGTCTAGAAACTACTAGGTTAGAATAAAACCTGCTATGTCTCAAGCAAAATTCATGTGTCATCTTCATGCGGTTCTGGTAGACATTATAAGGAATAGCTCAGCAGTCTGTTGCAGCCCTTCTGACAGTTATTCACAATACATCTGTGGTTTGGGTGTATTTGTTTCAGACTGCAAAGAGACAAAGAAAAAATGTAGCTCTAAACATTTTGTAGAGGCATAAATCAGAGTCTGAAGTCCCTGGTGGAGGTAACTGGGGTGTCTTTGTAAGTAAAAAATTGACCTAACAGAGGGTGTGGATATTGGCAATATCCAATGTGTATTCCAGGTGTGTGGATTGTCTGAGAGTGATGGGGTTTGGGAAAGGATCTGGACCCAGGGGCACGCTGCCCAGGAATGACTGTCTGGGAATGACTGTCTGCAGGGGCAGGACAAGGGGGAAGGTAATGATTCCTGCCAGCCCTGCTGAGGGATTTCCAGGTCTGAGCTTTAGCAGGAGGGGCAAGGAAGAGCAGCTGGAAAAGCTGACCAGGAATGGCTCTTCCAGGCTGCGGAGGGGTGCAGTCTTTCCTGGAAGCTGTTTTTTAATATCAGGTTCTGCCAAGTATATCAGTCCCCTCCAATACCATGTGTTTTGTGCTCCAGATTGATCTCACTGTGGTGGCTTTTGTCTTTCTCTGCAGGGGTAAAGCGCTCTCTCTCAGAGATGGAGGAAGGCAAAGTGAATCTGGATAACAACTGCTCACCCTATTACCTCATTAGGCTAATCTACTCCTCTGAAAACTTTGACAAGCTTGTGAACCTGAGCACATACAACATCCTCAATAACAAAGACCTGCTCCTCCAGACAATCCGGAGTGCTGTAGAACGGAGGAGAAACAGCAGGACTTGGAATCTCCCCAGCTACTCTAGAGCTGGATACCGCTAGGCTGGGTTTTTGCACTGTTCCCCACTGAAGGCAACAACAGTCACACTACAACACATCACAGTCGCATTGCAATATGTCATAGTCACATTACAACACATCACAGTGTTCATTATTTGCAAGAAACTGAGGAAACCTGTACATTTCTCATCTTGCCTTGTTCAAGTTCCTGGCTTTCAGAAGGGTTTATTTAAGCTCCTTCCCCCAAGCTTTCAGACCACAAGAGCTTCACACTGTGGTCTTACTTGTTAAGAAATTAGGGTCCTGATTAGCAGAGATATTCCAGGATCTCCCTGATGTTATAGAATATGGTGGTGGTGATAGTGATAGTTCTTAAGAGCCTGTCACCTCAATCCTGAGCCTATTGTTGGTGTCTTTTCAATGCTTGGTTACAAAGCAAGTCCTGGCCATTTGCATTCACTGATGTCCAGATTTTCAGACAGGCTGAGCAACTAGAATTTGCACTGAATTGGTGGGCTCAGCTTTGAAGTCAGGCCAAAGAGTCATATTTATCTGTGAACAATGGCCAAACTGCAACGTGAGCAATTGCATTCTGTCTGGCCGATTACCTTTGCTGATTTAGAAATGATTCCTTTTTTCCATTCCTCTGCAAGAGCTTGGCACAGAAACACTGCTCCAGACTGCCATGAAGGGGGCAGTTACATTTCAAGGAGAGGACATTACCTACAGAGAGTGAGTACGGTGCTTTTGAGCATTGGCTGGAGGAAAAATTCCGCACAAGGCACGAGTGATTATCTGGATTTATATGGGTAGTGCCTTTATGCATTAAAATGTCAAAAGCCTGAAACAAGCTTTTGACACCAGAAATTCAAGGGGAGTAATTACCATAAACTCAAGTACAGTTAATTTAATAAGACATAAGCTAGTGATCCTTATGTATGTCAACTGAATGTAGGATAACATAACTCACAGAGTGCACAGCCATTGTATTTTCACACCCAGAAGATTTTTTCCTTTTGCAGTCTTCTACCCCTAACATCATAGGCAAGGTATTTTTAATAGGTGCTACACTAAAACAGAGCACAAATAAGGAAAAGGAAATTCTTTATCACACCTTTTTGCTGGAGGAAAATGTTTGGAAAAATGACACCTGGTTTTCATTTGCTTTGGAGTGCAATGAGAGACTTTGCATTGAACTAGGAGCCTGGAACATCTTAATAGCCCTCCAGAATCTGAAAGGAAAGGATCCTGAGCAGCATGAAACAGAGCTCCACAGAAGTCAAAGAAGTTTCCAGACTTCCTAGCACTGAAGGATTTGGACCTCTTTCTGGCTTGTTTAATCCAAACACAGCATACTCATTGGGATCTCCAAGGAAAATCTTTTCTTCTCTGTTGGAAATTTACTTCGTATCTAGAATTGGTTTTAATTGAAATCCAAAACTAGACAAAGAAAGAGAAACGGAGCCCTGCCTTTTTGGTATATGTAGGCAGTATTCAAGCTCAGAGGGAGAGCATTTATGAAAGGCTTCATTGACCGAACCCTGCATCTCTTAAATGCTGCTTCTGCTGCAAGCAATGACAATGAGTATGCCCCAGCAAGATTCCTTGTGCAATGCTTATTTACTAAAGAATACTATGTGAAACCTGAGGAGTCTTAACAGCTGGAATGCAACTATACAACTGAATTCAGGACATAAGAACTAATTGGATACTGTCTGCAAGAGAAAAGTAGCCATTTTGAGTTGAAAGATGAGATGGCAGCAGGCAGCTATCTCAGGAGAGACAATCCTACCAGCAGGATCTGTTACCTTCCTGCAGGAGAGCAGTACATTCCGACGCAGTATGCCGTGATGCAGATAGATGCACATACAAGCACATGTGGCTGTGTGCATGCATACACAGGGCGTGCACTATTTTCATGCTCCCCTGGCTGGTCCTACAAAGAAACCTCTTCCTACAATCTGCTTGCACAGAACAAAACCTGATTCCAGCTTGACTGTGGAGAGGCTGCGTGCTCCCATGTCCTGTGTCCTGGTATACCCTGATTCACGCAGGCTTCAGCACTTGGCCTCACAGACAGTCGGTGCTTGACCCCTGCTCACTTTGGCCAGGAGGTGAACAGAAAGGATGGACAAGAAGTGAGTGGTACCGCTGTGCTGCCTGTCTCCATGTCCTCACTGTGATGGGGCGCTTGGGGCGCCAAATCACTGCTTGCATCTTCCAGCATCATGGTATTACACAGAAGGTGCAAAGGGCTGAACAGCTTGTGGAGAGTCCCAGCAATAACAGCTTTTCTGCTGCAGTGGTTAAAGAACTCAGTTCAGTCAGGGACATTGGCATTCTCCACAATAGACTGCTATTTCTTTTGACACTAAACCAGTATCTAGCTAGGAACAAGACCACCAATGGTGTTATGTGATTGCCTTTAATTTATGCATCCATCCATATTGTAGATAGGAACACCATTTTACCTCATCTACCTAATAACTGGGGCATGTCTGGTGCATTCATAATGCTGCTAATGCAAACAGAAATGGCCACTAAAATGTGAAAGAGCCAAAACCCCCGCAGGGTTCTCAGGTAATCCCCACTCAGTGGAGAATAACTTGTCTAAAGGACTGTTACACCCTGTTTAGTGAAGGAGGTAGCTATGGGTAGGGAAGGAGGTGGGAAGGTGGTGTGATCTCCCCTTGCCAGGAAAACTGTCACCCAAGGATGTGCCAATACTTAAAGTAGGGCCAGCAACTGCTCTTCAGTCTTGCAGCCCAGAGGCACAGACAGCCACGTGCCCCTTGATCTCCTTGGAGCCCCATGTGGTAACCCTGTAGCCTTAACCAACAATAGTTTTAAAAATATACTTCTGCATTTCAGACCCTGAAATGATGTGAGGGCAGTATCATTGCCCTTCACAGTGGTTTTTGATTGGCTGTTTTGGTTGTTTTTGTAGCATGACATTGAAGGAGCATGTTGTTGGCCTGATGGTGTGAGGGCAAAGGCTGCTGGGGGACTCTGCAGGGTGGAGGGACCCACATCTGGCACAGTCTTATCCATGCAGGTTGGTGGGAAGATGTGACTGGCACATGCTGTCTCCCAAAGCACACTTGGGCTCTGCGTTAGAACATGCTGACTTGCACAGCATGGAACCCACAGAACTATTGAGCAGAGCTGCAGTGATGTACAGCTGATCAGTGACCTGCGGTCAGGTCAGCTCCTTGGTCTTCTTTCCTTTAAGGTGTGCATGGAGTTTAAGGGAATGGACCACTGAAATGTCTTTGTTCCCCAAAGATTTTGTGTTTGTTCCTGTCCCTGTCTTGCCTGGCCTTGTGCCACATGCTGTTGAATGGCTGTTTGAGTGGAGTGCATGAAAACCAAAGTAGTCACTGCAAGGAGAAAGCTGTCTCTCTGCCTCTCACTGTACAAAAAGTGTATGTGAAAAGGCACATGGCATGCTTAGCAACTCCGCCTTGCTGTTCTGGTGTTATGTTTGCTTAACCACTAGAGATGAATGCATGTGTGTGAAATTCTCATCCAAAATGCACCCCAGATCACTGCTTTCAGATGAACATTTTCTTGGAATCCCCCACAAATACAGAGCTTGCTATCTGCTGCCAAACACAAAGCAAAGAGAAGTTTGTTCGTGTAACTCTTAGCTACTCATTATAGTAATAGCATGTTTGTGTCTTTGAACTATTCAGTAATATAATAATCAAAAATAAAATATTGCAAAGGAGCACCAGCCCCATGAAAGTCTTTATGTACTTGAATATGAGACTACATCTTTGCTGGTTGTATTAGCACTATTTACGCTAGATGCCTGCTGAGCACTTTGTAGGGCATTGACTGGTTTCAAGGATGGGTGGAAAAATCAAAGAGAAGATATTCTGGTTTACAAATACATTGAGAGCTTGGAAATAAGTGTGGAACAAACTCTACCTCCTGCAGTAAAACCCTCTTCAATGGAATGGCAAAAAGGAGGGCAGGATAGCAGCTGTACTGAGCCACAGCCAAGGCACAGCTTTATTCTCCTCTTTGTGATTTCATTTAAATGTATACAGAAGTCTGCCTTTCACTGAACTTTACTGTAATGAATTGAATGGTGAGTTTAAAATACCTAAGTTTGAAAAACAGAAAGTTTTTATTTTTGTGTAAAAGCAGTTAGAAGCAATAAAGGAAAATGCACCAGTTTCCCATCACTTTGCTGTATTCTTTGTGACAGGCAATGGCTCCAGCAAAGATCCAGCAGATGAGATTAGATCCAATGATTAGATCACCTTGTTGGATGTGAGTGACTGATCTGAGTCAGCCTGAACACAAACCTAAACTCTGGATGTTGCATGTACCGTTAAAGTATTTACACACACTTGGTGTTTTGCACTTCTCTCCCACTGGAAAATGCAGATAAGACTGCGAACAAAGAGTTATTCTTGTCTGAGTAGAGGCCAAGGCTGAAGTCCTTGTCCAAGCAGTTAAGGACATGAAACGTTAGGCTCCACTTGTCAGGGAAGAGCCCCCAATCACCACACTGTCCTGGTGAAATGCCCTTCCTCCCCAGCTTCATGCTAGCTAACTTTTCTTTGGCTCAGAGGTAAGTAGGAAAAAAAGGGTATTCTTCCTCATGTTTGCAGCACACCTTAACAAATTGTGCCTAAGATCCAAATGCTTGCATCAGTAGATAGGTGCATAAGCACAAATAGGTTTAACCAGCTCTCACCCCATGGGTTCATCTGATCACTCCTTCATTAGCCTTGGGAGCCTGGGCTATGTCTGGCATGCCAGGACTTGAATCTGTGTCTTAGGTGAACAGTCTCACTGTCATGTCACTTTGAGGTGCTTCAGGAGGCTCTCTATGTCCCTTTTGGCTCAGCTCTGCTTCATCCCAGCTGGTGAAAAAAGCCATTCCAGCATCAGAGCCGAAACTTGCTCTCTGCAAGCCCATTGCAGGGGGATGGACCACCAGATGTGAGAGTGTTTAGTCTTGGCACAAAAACACATTCTCAGCTTTAACTGCATGCCTGCTGCTTGCCTATGTTATTATACCTCTCAGGTAGAAGGATTTAGAGTACATGAAGACAAGAATCCCATCTGAATGCTTTTGCCTATCCAGGCTAAGGCACACTAAAATACAAAGCCAGCAGCAGCCGTGTGCTCAATGCTTTTCTTCCAGGGCTGGATTTCTTCCTGGCAGTCACACCTCTGCTCGAGGGGTAAAGCCACATTTCCAGCCCCACACTAATTACCAGGTTCCCCCCTCTTGAAGAAAAAGGAGGCTTTCCACAGCCGCTAAAGGTTGCCAGGTATAGCATGCTGCTAATGCACCGTTCACAGGAGCACTGAAGAGAAAAATGACCTAGGGCAGCCCTGGTATGCAGACCACTTGGTTTTGTGGTGGCAAAAGGGAAGGAAAGAAAGACTAACATACATTTCAGGTCAAAACCCTCCACCTCCCAAAACAACCAAACCTGTCTAACCTGCAGGGTACAAAGAATCCTGCTAAATCGGCCCTATCAGCATTTTCAGGTGGTTTGGGTGCTGAGCTGTGCTGTGATTGATGCTAGTGACGTGCCCCAGGACTGACCCATGTCTGGTGGGGTCCTCCAGGCACTTGGCCGGGCTGGGCCTGGGCAGGACTTAGGGCACTGGGTGGTAAGCAGAGCTGGCTGCCGTGCTTGTAGAGCTTGCTTTAGGAAGTAGGAAAGCTTAAGGCTCATAAAAGTGCTCTGGAGAAAAAATAATACTTATAAACATGGAATTATATTAGACACATAGGGTTTTCTTTTGGGTTATGGGAAGGAGGGACTTGCTTGCTTGGCATCTCTCTGAGTTTCTTCATTTCACTTGCTCAGAGTACTTGGAAGAACAAAATCTGTATCTCCTGGCTTTCACCCTCCCAGAACAACAGCTACCAAAGATTCGCTTTTCTGTAGGAACCTGGGACTGGAGCGATGATGTATACCTAACCTGGATTTCCCTGTTGGAAACTTCTAAAAGACATTTAACCCATTGCACCTCTATGACTCCCTGTATTTAAGCACGCAATGTTTTTCCTAAAGCCTTAGAACAATTTACTGTTCTATGTCAGAGGAGAGAGGAAGAGTCCTCCCTCCCAGAAACAGCATAGAGCTTCATGCTATAGTCCTGCTGTGGAACAGTTTAGGTATGTAACCAGGACTCTTAATGCTAATGCCAATATAGTCTATTCAGGTAGTAAGATACCTTGGCAAGGATTTTAGCTATCTATTTGCTTCAAGCATTCACAACTGATTAATTGATAGAGTACTATGAGTAGCATAAAACCATAACTGTATGTAATGACAAATTGCCAGTGTGAAAAATCCAGGCAGAACCTCAAAAGACCCACGGGCATATGGAAGCAGCAGTTGCAATAATAGTAATGACATTGTTAACAGAAAATATAAACCACATTTCTGGGATATAAACCAGTTCCTGAAGGTAAAAAGAGTTATTTGCAGGAGGGAGGAGGAAAGAATTTAGTATCCAAACACAGAGCACAACCAGGTTAAGACTGGAAAGCCAAACTGAGCTCTGCCTGAGATACAACTACATTGACATGGGTTCAGTTTGCTCCTAGCTGATTCCTGACAGCCAGCAGTGGGAGGAGACAAACAGATACACAGTCAAACTAAGCCTGGGAAGTTTATCTTTGAGTGCACTGGCCCCTTCTTACTGTTGGGTTTTGAGGGAGGTTCTACTGTTGCTGTAGAGCACAGTGTATACCTTCTCCCAGCCCTATTAGTGCTTTTGCTGGGAAAGGTCCTCTGGGGTAAACAATGTTGAAATGCCTCCCATGCACCCCAGCTACAGAGCCACACTTTTCAGCAGTCAGTGGTTATTAGAGTCTTATTGAGCAATGGTAGCTTATACCTTGAGGGAAGCAAGAGCTTGAGCCGCCTAAGCTGCCTTCTCAGAGCACTGCACAGTGCCAGGACTAAGCGTGCTGGCAGGGACACAGGACCTGAAATGTAGGTGTATGGAGATGAGAAGCAAAAGCTGTATGGAGGTGAATAGAGTCCTCATTTGGGATCACATGGCACAAGAAGCTTCTGCTTTGGGAAGCCTGATGTGGTAAAAGCACAAGGACTGGACAATCCAGCTGGTAAGGTCAGCAGGCAACTGCATCTCTTCTGTTAGGAGAAACCTACACTACAATCTAAAATGCTCTAAGGCCTTGCCCCTCTAATGACTGATGAGCCCCAGCTTACTTTTGGGTGTGGATACCTGGAAAGCCAAACCCTACTCATTCTTCAATTAACATTTGCAATAATGCAGTAAATGCCTACATATAATGACAGGCTTCTATCTCATCAGGTACTTTTTTCAAGCCCTCTCCTCCCATTCCTCTGGCAAGTGGAATTTATTTATTTGCTCATTATTGTGGTAGATGCAACCCTTTGAAACAACTGCAGAAACTACCTTGAAAATTGCGTATTTAGAGCTTAGCAAAAAAGATCTTGCAAATGT